CCTGAAGAGTTAATGCCCATTTGTGGCCGCGTCAGAAGCGGGCCGAGAATTCCTTTAAGGGCTGGATTAAAAGCAAGAGTAAGAGCAGGCTTAATGCGATTAAATGCAGATTGATGGGCCTGCTTAACGGCTCCCAAATTTTGAAAACTCGGGCGAAGAACACGCCTTGTTCCAAGCTGAACTAAATTAGCACCAGTGAGTGGTTGGGATTTAGACGATTTCTTGACCACATCAGTCCACTCAGAAGATTGTTCATGCATCCAAAGATTATATTCATATTGAAAATTTGGTCCACCACCATGCCAGAGATGAAAATAGATCATAAAAGAATAACATTCATAAGATCCAAGCCGGTAAATATGAAAACCAACTTCTTGAGATGAGACAGGGAAACGAAACACACGATCATTTAGAAGACGGACTCTGAAACGCACAGTCAGACTAACTCGTCTAGCGTTCGCTTGCGATGAGCTTTTAGTTAGATATAATTTCTCGATCGTGTACCACCAGAAAACTTTGAAATTCTCGATCTAAGTACCATTAGAAAACTTAATGTGGCTTCCACCACTCCTGTTGGTCTTTGATAAAAATGGGCAAAGTGAGTTGTGAACTTTGGTGATCTAAAGTATGTCACACACTAACACGTTACATAGTCGAGTGCGTACATTATGCTAACACAATTAAAACTATATTATATAGTTAAGAGGATCTTCTAAAACATGTTACACATTAGTTGTCACATACATTGGGAAACATGTTTTACTTTAGCTTGTCACGTACCGACGTACGGTGGGAACAAAAAGTTACACACTAATCAAATTGTGTCACATATGGTAGAATTGTGGAAACAAAAGGTTACATGCTAATTAATATACGTACATGCCAAATCCAAATTGTGCTAATCAAATTATGTTATATCATGTTATATCCTAATTATACTAATCACATTAGCTATCACGTTACATGCTACTCAAATTATTCTCATCAAATTATATCATGTCCAATGTTGCAAAATAAAAAAGATTTACCATATCCCATAGATCAGCATGTATCAATCAGATCTAGAAAAACTATTTTTATATCTAAAATTTTCCTTATTTATCCTATATAACAAAATTAAAAATTAAATAACTGTATTTTTCACTTATTACCTCCTATGAAATAATAGGTGATCCTAACCATCTGATCTAATTAAATGGATGGCTCACAGTTATTTGGGTATACCACAGCAAAGCACATTCTTTTTAACAATAAATTTTATATTGTATATTTGACACTCAAAATAATTTTAAATGAAAAAGTTGTTAACTTCAAAGTTATACATATCGTCGAGTACTACAACTTTAATGTTGACTTTGTCTCAATTTGACATTGTTAATCATGTCAAATCTGATATGAGAACTTATATTAAATATTTGAACTTGTAAACCATCTCAAATTAAAAAGTTATTAACTACAAAGTTGTAGATCTCTTTAACTTGTAAACCATCTGAAAACTTATATTGAATTTTTCTTATATTGAATATTTGAACTTGTAAACCATATGAGAACTTATATTGAATTTTTCTAACTCCACGACAACCGAAGAAAAAAATTCAGAATTTCTAGCAAAGTAGGCACGTTAATCTACATCATAAAGATGTAAATGTGAGTACTAAAATCAGGCCCTTCATGAAAATGCTTATACTCCGGAACGCTGAGCATGGTAAATTATGTCCCATTTTTGTGTTTAAAAAAAAAAGGAAACGAACAAAAGCTCACGCGCCGCGCGCGCACACACATCTAAATTTTCATTGCAAAGCACTTGAGTGGCTAATGACATTATTATCTGCACAAATCAATGGGTTTGGTCATGACTCATAACATCCACTTGTCTACTACTACTGCTTTTTGGCCCGTGACCTAACTGATTCTATGCTCATTATGCTCGAGATGACACGCTTATATAATCCATCTTATATCAGCATTTTTCGTCCAGTTTATATAAGCTGAAATGGTTAACAAACAGACATCTCAACTTAGCCAACTTACATATATATAAGCATTCCTGGACCAGTTTGTCTTATTTCGAGTTTTGTCTTCTGCACCTAAGGGTAAAAACAGACGAGACATTTCTCGATATTTATCCATCCAAAAGGGTTTCAAATACTGAGGGCTTGTTTAAATTCAGGGTGTAAAGTTTTGGATGTCACATCAGTGTCACATGAGGGTATCGCATGGAGTGTTCGAATATTAATAAAAAATATAAATTATAGAATCCGTCAGTAATCCACGAGATGAATTTATTAAGCCTAATTAATTCATCATTAGCACATATGTTACTGTATCACCACATTGTCAAATCATAGACTAATTAGGTTTAAAAAATTCGTCTCGCAAATTAGTCGCAAACTGTATAATTAATTATTTTTTAGTCTATATTTAATACTCCATGTATGTATCAAATATTCAATGAGATAGGAAGTAAACTTTAGGACTAACAAAGCCTAAATGGATAAGTTCATGTCTGAATCCCTCTGTCCGTTATCTGTCAGCGAGTTGTGTCCTTTTTACTATTGATGCAACTTGTCACGTTCAAAAGTAGAACTACCTCCGTCCAAAAGAACATAATTCTCGGATAGTATTATATTAGTAGCTTAAGTTTGATCAATTATAAATAAAAAAATATTCATGTTTATAATATTAAATAAATATCATCTGATTAATTATAAAATATATTTTTATAATAGATTAATTTAAAGACATAACGAAACTTAGTTAAAACATGCGTTCTTATAGTTATATATTTTTTTTGGGACGGAGAAGAAAGTACAAAGTGAGGTGTCCCTTTTTCTAGCTAGTCTTTCCAGACTTTCAGTTCGATCGACAGTGGTAACATGTCACTGTCAACCGTATCATCACATGGTAGGGCTAATAAATAAAGTATCTATAGAATACTAGTTTGCTTTCTCCTTTAGGTTCGTTTAGATGTAACCCAAAACCTAAAATTTTTTAAGATTTCTCGTTACATCGAATCTTGCGGCACATGCATGGAGTATTAAATGTAGATGAAAAAAAAAACTAATTATACAGTTAGCCGAGAAATCGTGAGACGAATCTTTTAAGCCTAAATAGTCCATAATTGAATAATTTTTGCCAAATACAAACGAAAGTGCTATAGTAACCAAAAGCTAAAAATTTTCGAAACTAAACGGGACCTTACTACTTGATACCACTTGTCGTGTTCAGTAGCACTCTCAGGTCTCAGCATACAAGAATCTTCTTCGTTATTCTATAAAAAAATAGGTGAAGAGCTGACCCTATTGTGACTCATCATCAGGAGAAGAGTTGCTCCACCGAAGGTGATGATATTTTATTGCTAATTCAGCACGCATGAAATCTTCAACAAAGGTTCTGCTTTCTTTTCACGAACTGGAGGGGCCTCGACATAGACAATGAATTCAAACGTGTCAGTGTTTTGATATGTTGATTGTTGTAGTCTAATGCATGCTTTCCTGAAAACTAAACATACGGCCAAAATATAGTAAACCCCTTATTTTCTGTCCACGAATGTTGGGAAATTTTATTACCCTTGAATCAGGGGAAAATGATACTATGTTCCTAACCATTACAGTATATATGACATATATTTCCTTCCACTTTTCTTAAAGTTGAGCTAGATGCACTGAAAGAAAATCCACAAGTGCTACTTTAATTTCATGACCAAAATAACAGTATGGGCCGTTGTCCAGTACTCAACAGTTGAGCATTATTGAGGTAATGTTGTGTGTGATTCTTTCCTAATCCCACTAAGATTCTACTTTAGAAAAGCATGTCACCAAATGAGTAAGAAACAACTAAAATAATGGCTCAGAATAAAAATAGTTGGAGTAAATAGTACTGTATCTAGGTGATACTGATACCTAAATGTTTTTGTATATATATATAGTGACACATTTTGAGAGACAATTTAAATGTTATAGTGTCTGGGCCACAAGGAGTACTACTTTTTTTTGACAAGTACAAGGGCATTATGTTAGTACATCGACTTGGTACCTGTATGTATTGTACATGGAATCTTCTTATAATATTTGTACTCTTGTTTATTTTCTTTATTATTACTAATTCCAAAATTTTGAACAAGATTTATTGTTTTTCTAGTGTCCGGCTAATATGTGAAGATAGTACTACATCCTTCCATGATTTAATGGCTTGATGATCATCAAAATCTGGCTACATGTCTTATTTCTTTTTGTCCCAATGTCTTTTTCTTTTTCTTTTTCTTTTGTAGGCAGGATTGTCTTTGATGTTTCGTATCACTAGTTTTGCTGATTCATCTATCCCATAGTGTGTGAGAATCCCAGGATCCACTTCTCCCAGGATCACTTCTCCGGCCTCCCGTCCCGCCTGCTGGCGGTGGCGGTTGCGTCGCTCAAGCAAGGGGCGCGCGAGCAGAAATCCTGAGAAGCCGAGGGGCCGTGCGTGCAAATTCGCGCGGCCTGGCCCCTGGGCACGTGGAAGAAACCGTGGTCCAGTCCCAGCCAAGAAAGCGCACGCCACAGCAACTGCCTCCTCGGCTCCGCCTCCCCTTCTTCCCCTCACCGCCACACCGCCACACCCGGGCACCCGGCTCACAGTGCCAAACTGCCAGGCCACCCCTCTCTTCTCCGCCACCTACTCTTATCCCTGTCCTTCTCTCTCTCTCCAGGAGGACTAGGAATAGGGTCGCCTCGCCGCCAGCCAATCACACGCGCACATGCCCCGTCCGGCCGTCCCCGCACTTCATTCATTCCCCACTGCACACAAATACTACCCTGACTCCGTGAGGGAGAGAGCAACAGGAGGAAGGAGAAGGCATTCGTGTTCCTTCCTAGTAGGAGTACAGGACTGCCTCTCCTGCTGCCGGCTTCGCGGCCTCTTCGCCCCCTGCCATGTCCACCATGGGTCTCTCTCTCTTTCTCCCTCTTCTCTCTGGATGAATGTCCCCCAAGAATCTTTTTTTTATCTCTTCCTGTGCCGCAATGCCTGTGCCGGCTGCTGTTTCATCTTCCCTGCCGCTCCTGGACGGATTGCAGCGCCAAGTCTCCTCGGTGACCTTTCTTCTCCTCTGCGCTGCTGCTGTAGGGTTCGCTTCGGTTCGGTTCTGTTCTGTATCCTGACCTCTTGTTGGTTCTTGCCTTCTTGGAACTGACGGCTGCTTGCGAAACCCATGATGATTCCATTCCATGCCTCTTTGATTCCTTAATTGAATCGTCATCCGCCTCTCCGTTCACACCTTCCTCCTCTTTATTATATCTTTTTTTTGTTAATTAAAAAAATGAAATTTTCGTTAGTCTTCGCACATGCTTTTCATCTCTGCTTCTTGCCGTTCTGTACTGTACATGGAGAGGATTGCTCTGCTCTGCGCCGGAGGGAGCTGATGAATGGTTAATAACGTGTGGCTGTACTGGCTGTGGGCGCAGATGAAGGCTACGGCCCTACTTGGGACAGCGACGACGAATACGACAACTTCATACGCAAGATGAACCCGCCAAGGTGCACTCTCAATTATTCACCACATCCCGCTGAATCTCCTAGTACAGCAATAACCAATCTCCTAGTACAGCACTGCCTGTTGAAAAGAAAAGAAAAGAAAGATGGCAAGTGCATGTGTCAAGACTAACCCTGGTCAGTTTTGGCGATTGACCGCAGGATCGTCATCGACAATGAGTCCTCAGCAGAGGCCACAATTGTAAGGGTACGTAATTATGTATGTTCCTTCCTCGTTCCTCCGGTTAATTTGCTGAATTGAATTCCACGGTCGATTTTGGAATTTACCATTTTGCTGTTTTTTCCATGGTATTACATTACAATTTGTAGGTAGATAGCGCAAACGAATATGGGATACAGCTGGAAGTGATCCAGGTCATGATTGATCTCAACCTTGTCATAAGCAAGGCCTACATAACCTCGGATGGTGGATGGTTCATGGATGGTAATCTGATTGCGCCTGTCTATTCTTGTTCCATTTTGTGATTTTTATCTCAACCAATCAGAGCTAAACAAGCTCGGTAATCTGCTTTCCTGCTGCGGCGTTCAGTCTTCAATGTGACCGATAAGGAAGGAAAGAAGATCAAAGATGAGGCAACCCTTTCACAGATCGAAGACTACATCAGAAAGGTATGCATGGTCATACAACCGTACAATGTTTTTTTAAGGTATGCATGGTCATACAACCGTACAACCGTACAATGTTTTTTTAGGCGCTAGACGGTTTTAGACGGTGACCCATCGCCTACCGTCTAGGCGTTTTGACCTTTTTTTTATTTTAACATATATAGCTGAAAAAATTATATAAATATAGTAGCCAAGTGAATTTTAATTTTATAAAAAGAGAAAAGGTCCTATAGACATACTTTAGTTGATACAAAAGTGACGCTTATGCTTAGTTCATAGTTGATAGTTGATACAATACAAACGTGATGTGATGTTACTACAACGATACAAAGAACAGACCGTGATGTTACTACAACGATACAAGTGGAGAACAGACCATATCAGTAGTTAAATACACACACAGGCACACAGCAGTACAGCACAGGCGTACAGAGCAGTACAGCACAGGCGTACAGAGCAGGAAGATAGAAGGGAGCAGCCGAGCAGAGGAGAGAGGAGCAGGGGGCGGGCGGACCTCACCTTGGGGTTCCCGAGCGGCGGGGCGAGGGGCAGCGAGGAGCTCACCAGCAGTGGCGGCCCGGCGAGGAGGGGGCGCACGGGAGCTCCAGGGGCGGCGCGGGGAGGCCTGCACGGAGGGAGAAGATGACCGGTGATGCGGAAAACGGGTCCACGGCATCAAGTAGAAGCTTCGTGCGCGACGAATCGGCCGGAGACGTACCGTGGCCGGCGAATCGATCCGGCGAGCGAGCTCGGGTCGGAGGCAAGGGGTCGAGGAGGAGATCTTGACTCTCTGACTTCATCTCTCTAATGCTCTCTAGCACCGGCGCGCGGGGCTCTTTTCCCTCCCGCGCGGCCGCTTCCTTTCCCGCGCAGACGCCTGCTCGCGCGCGCGCTCCCGCCTGCTCCCGCCCGCCAAAACGCGCGCGCGCTCCCGCCCAGGCGCCGCCTCCTCCGCCTACTCGCCGCCCAGGCGCCGCGGAGGCGCGCCCAGCGCCTAGATGTACGCCTCATCCCCTATGCCCCGCGGGAAGCCTCCGCCTAGCGCCTAGGCGCACCTAGTCGAGCGCGGAATCGCGCCTTGTTTTTCATTGCAACCATATCAACCAATCAATTATGCCTCCCTCCTCTGTACTCTAGCGTGTCCTCCTAAGTAAAGATTAACAGATGTTCTTGGAACATGTGCAGTCCTTGGGTGCAAATTCAAGATACATTCCTTCCCGCCGGAGATCAGTAGACGTCGCCGCTGCAGCTGACCACAATGTCATCGAACTAACAGGGACGGACAGGCCAGGCCTGCTCTCTGAAGTCAGTGCGGTGCTTGCCAGCCTCAAGTGCAACGTGGTCAGCGCTGAGATCTGGACCCACAACACCCGAGCTGCGGCCGTGATGCGGGTCACCGACGAGGACACCGGGCTGGCGGTCACGGACGCCGAGAGGCTGGAGAGGATCAGGGAGAAGCTGTCGTCCCTGCTCCGTGGAGGCAATCTCTCCCGGGGCGCTGCCATGGCGTTGTCGTCAGGGACCGCCACCACGCACACAGAGAGAAGGCTGCACCAGATGATGCTTGACGACTGTGACTATGAGCAGCTCCAGCGGCAAGCTCCAGGGCAGTCTCAGAGGCCTAATGTCACCGTGAGGAACTGGAACGACAAGGACTACTCGGTGGTGACCATCAGATGCAAGGATAGGTCCAAGCTTCTGTTCGACACGGTTTGCACTCTGACGGACCTGCAATATGTTGTTTTCCATGCCAACATTGATGCCAAGGACAATCAGGCATACCAGGTGAGTATACTGATCTGGATGTCTCTCACTAGTAATTGACATTATTGATCTACTCCATTAAAATTCTGGTTCAAAGAAAACTGTTTGATATTTATATGGATGCTGCCCGCTCTGTTGTAGGAATTCTATGTAAGGCATGTGAATGGATCACCAATGAACACTGAAACTGAGAGATTGCGAGTCATCCAATGCCTTGAAGCAGCCATTGAACGGAGGGTATCCGAGGTAACAATTCCGTGCACTTTGAAATCACATAACCAAAAAACCTGCAAAACCACTAATCATGCAGCTTCAAATTGAAAACCACCTTGTTTCCTTGTTCTGGTTGTCCCAGGGTGTCAAGCTTGAGCTGTGCACTAATGACAAGGTCGGGCTACTGTCTGAGGTTACCCGCATCTTCCGCGAGAACAGCCTGACCGTCACAAGAGCAGAGGTGACCACGAGGGGCAGGATGGCTGTGAACACGTTCTACGTCCGCGGTTCCACAGGAGAGGATGTTGATCAGAAGGCAATAGACTCCATCAGGCAAGCCATAGGCCACAGCCTTCAGGTGAAAGGCCAGCCTGAGCCACAGGAAGCGCAGAAGAAAGAGTCCCCCACATGGTTCCTCTTTGCCAACTTGTTTCGGCCAAGATCTCTCTACAGTTTCGGGTTCATGCGCTGACCGCATCGTCCCGATTGTTTCCAAGAATCGCCGTGTAACAAGTTCGTCCATGAAGCAATCCAGGAAACGGAGGATCTTCAGAAGGTGGAAGCCTTCATTCTGTCCCAGTAGTGCAGGCTTGGTCAATATAGGTAGAGCATGGGTGGGTGTTCATGTAACATCATCATCTGTAAATATATGCTGATTTTCACTTTATGACTGCATTTGTACATGTAACATGTAAATTAAAGGACGTAAATATAAGCTGTGCAGAATATGATTAGATCCCAGATTTGTTGCAACGTCATAAAAAGCCCCGTGCCTTTTCTCCCAACTATTTTAAGTCTTTCCCGTGGGAGGAGAAGGAATCCGTTAACTTCTTTTTACCTTTTCCCTAAAAAAAACCCTTCTTTTTATCTTGTTCCGAATGAGAGGCCGAGTCGGCTTGCTTTGCTTTCAAATTATTGCAGCTGTCCTGGGCCACTGGAATATGCATGACAGCAATGGCTGCTGCAAGTTATGTGGCTGGAGGCTAGATGCAAGTCAGTAGTCAAAAGCAAGAGCGGTGATTGCCGTACCTGAAGCTTTGGTGATGGAGACACATTGCACCAAGTTGTTGTCTAATGCAGACAAAACTGCATCAACATGAGATCCAGCTTCTGTGGCTAGTCTATCATCCTGTCATCTAACATAATCTCCGATATGCGAACTACAATCGCCGATGATGAGGTGGTGACGTCGAGCCAGCCCTGCTCAACATTGCCTAGCTAGAGGTTTGGCGGCCTGACCTGTGCCTGAAAGTCCAGTGGTGAGCCATAAGGGTAGGGTAGCTGAAATAATAGTCTGTTCGCTCGGTAGTATTTGGCTTATAAGTCATGGCTTATCAGCCAACGAACAGTATATTTCTCTCATACCAAACCAGCCAACGATACTTTCAGCCATGGCTTATAAGCCAAACCAGCCAAAACGAACAGGGCTAAGAATCTAAAAGTAGGCAGCACAAGAGTTGGTTCAGAATGTTTTGTCACAATCTAGGACCTCTCAATGCCCATCAATAGTGCTGCTTTTGGCACCTGTGATGATTGGCCCGTGGCACAAAATTGTGCTTTCGATCGGTGACATCTGATTCACGAGGGCATATCAGAACACCAATAATGCGCCATCGGGGTCAGAACTAGGTCAGAAGTGGAGCCTGTCAGTTTCCGCACTCAGCAGCATGACATTGTTGAACAGCAAAGCAGCATTGGAGCCGGCGCAAATGTGCCATTGGAAGAAGCACGCCATACTCACAAGGGATCCAGTGGATTCGTCTCAACAACGAAGAAGTGGCATGTCCTGTAAAGCGGTTAGGCAGAAGTAGGCGTCAAGAGCCATGCCGGCATGAGCACGATTGTAACCTTGTTGCTCTCCACATGTAAGGAACCCCGCATTTGAGCAGCACCAAGTACCAACAAAATTTAACCTTTGATGCACAAGAACACAAGTGCAAAAGCAGTTGTACTTTGGATACCGGTAAAATCTATTGTTCCCTCAGTTCCAAATGGTACTCCCTCTAACGCCGTCCCGACAATCTCACAAGGAGAGTTTCATAAGAATTTTCATGGTATTAAATAAGCTGATAACATAAAATAAAGAGAGATGATAAAAGTTTCATATGATAAAATGAGTTTCAGAGATCTGCACTGTTACTAACACATGAAAGTTTTGTAAATTGAGAGATGAAACCTGCCTAGCGGTTATCATTCTAGTCTTTTACATTTGTCTCAAATTGGTTGTTATTTTCACTTTCTAAAGTATATTTCTTTTTCTAATACATCTCTATCTGCTGGTTGTTATTCTCACTTCCTAAAGTACATTTTTTTTCCAATACATCTCTATCTACGTCTCACTTCTTCTAGACCACACGTTTTTCACTCGTTAATCCCCGTGCCCAAAGAGAAAATATGGGATAGAGAGTAAGTTTAGTTTCATCTTTAAGTTACACTTCTTTAGTTTTGACAAAGTTCATTAAAAACTAAACAAACATCTAGAAGTGCAAATAAGATTCATCAGATATATCATGAAATATATTTTGAGTGCATTTATTTAATATGGTAGATGTTAATATATTTTTCTATAACATGGTCAAAGTTAGATAAGTTCGGCTTGGAACAAAACTAAAGCGGTAATTTTAAACGAGGTAGTAGTATAGAACAGTAATAGTAATTATTTTTCTAGTATAAAACTGTGTCCAAAATTGCCACGCCCATAGGGCTAACAATTCATAAAGTACAAGAAAAAATGGAAATAACAAAAACTCTTCACTGTGCGGCACCAGTATAACACAGAGGAGAGCAACTCCACGGTACAAGAGAAATAAAGCCTTTGCCAAGTGTGGTAGTTTACCAAGGAGAAGCCTTGTAAAGTGTTTGTGGCATTGCAGTGTTCTAGGCAAAGCTTTCGGTTAGAGGATACCTGCCCAGGAACAGTTCCAGCCCATCCAAGATCATACAAATTAAACTAGCATTCCTGTCAGGAATAGTTCCATGGCAAGATTCCGTATGAACCGAACGATGCCTTAAGCAAGTGGGAATGCTCCATAAGACTAAGAGGGGATATCTTGACCCTCTGCTTTTGTAGTCAGGACAAACTTACAAACTTAAGTTGGACTGCGCAGCTCACAATACAGTAATCATCTAGATCCACCTCCAGTACCACGGGAAGAGGATGAACAAACTAAGTGGCAAGGGGCAACATGAGCCGTATATTTACACTGGCCGAACTGCTCCTGAAATATAGAGTATCACCGCCTCCTTTTCCTGCCCTTTCCCTTCCCCAGCTGTCCAGATTTGAAAGCACTTTCCTGTTCTTGAAGGAAAGCCATGGCTTTTCCATACATCTCAGCTCTCTCTTCATCTCGCTTCCTCCTCTCCTTCTCCTTCACAGCAGCCAGGAAATAATTATCTTTTTGCAGCTCACGCTTCGCCCCCTTCATCTCACTCTTGACACGCTTCCTCATCTTTTTCATTTGTGCCCTTTCTCGGTCCGGATCATAATCAAGACCCTTGATGTAGCTGCAGAAAATAGAAGTAAATTGATCAAAAGAAGTTAAACATTTTTCTAAATTAGACCAACAATTAGACCCATGAGAAGTTGAGAACAAAACAGGACAGAATGGTGTATACTGAAAACATAAAATACCAAAAAAATACATACTTCTCTTCGAATTTTGGATTCAATTGCTTGATTGGTTCAGGCTTCTTCTTCCGCATTCGGAGGGGCTCTCTTGAAGCATGGTGTTCATCACTTCTCTTTTTAACCAAGTCAATGATTTCATGGAAAATGTCTTGTAACGTGCCAGGCAACTCAGATCTCTCCAAAATTTCTTGCAGCAAAGAGGATATTGGAAGGAAGGTTTCTGGGAAAGAGCATAGCCCTTCATGTATAATAACAAAACCTCTTAAACATTCTGCCACAGATAAAAGTACACCAGTCCTGCCAGAAAATATAATGACTGTAAGACAACAAAAAAAGAGAACCACTACAAACAATCATGAAGTCATTACAACCATATACTTACTTAAAGTTATCAGATGAGAAATAAGGGGCGTCAGGATCCATGCCAACTATTTCTAGGATATTCACTGGATTCACCTCATGCACTTGATCATGGATACTGAGCCATGGTTTTGAAGTCTTGAGCTCCATAAATTGATCGTTAATCTATAACCAAGATGATATTTTGCTTAATATCAATCAACTAACAAAAAATATGAACAACATCTGAATTAGTAATCACCTGATTGTGCAGATGAGTTCCCACTTTTCCTTTAAGAGATGTCACCAAAAGAGATTGCAGAAAACCAATTGCTTCAGGGCAGAACTTTTTAGATTCTTTAGTAACCTACAGATGTAAAATTTGGAAAGAAACAAGTTTTGCTACTGTCAGAAAAAGATATGGAAAAATTAGTATATATATACATGTCAATATAAGAAAGGAGGCATTGGAAAGTGATTAATCACTTCTGGACTAGTTTAAGGTCCTCCTTGGTACTGTATGAAAGTTGAAAAGGAGATTCAGCTCCAGTTTCTAAGTTCTAAATATCCATTCATCAATTGGGTAAAAATCTTGAAGAAGTTATAACAATCATTACACATTCTGAAAAGAAACTAAAACGCAGGATAAGTTCAAAAGCATACCACAAGCACCATTGAACACAAGAAAGAACCAACAGCAACATCTCGACCAGATTGTATAGGGCACCGCATCAGATATTCGCACATAAGTAGAAGCAATGGAGTTGCAACGACATGGCGGAAGTCGGAGCAGGGAAAAATAAGAGACCATAATCTCAGCAGAAGTAATATCTTCAAATTTGGCCAGCTACTCTTTCCTGGAAATAATATTTAAAGGAGGCGGCATGGTAAAAAAGCACATCAATCATAACAAAATAAATTTCCAATAAACCATGTCATTTATTATCTCACAAACCTGGAGCCTTAATATCTTCGCATAGACGGGTACGTGTATGAATAAGTCGCTCTCTTGCACAGATGGCAGCAAAATATGGAGTTTCTCCACTCATCTCAATTAAAGGCTTTACAAGTGTGTCAATTATTCTGAACTTCACTGGACTTTGGGTAGCTAAAATTGCAAAGTACTGCAGAAGAACACCATAGAAAACCTACCAAAGGGATCTGAATATTAGAGAACAAGTTGTGAAAAGGATAAGTCAGTCAGAAGTAAATGTGATATCATAAGGAGTTCAATTTTTACTTACTTGCATTTTCCTTCGGTTTTCAGCTGCAAGCCTTATTGAATTGCAAGTACGTATTCGACTAATAATCTCAATTATTTCGGCTTCTGAACAACCATCTAGCAAAGAGGATAGATCTTTCAGGTCATTTGGTGCATCAATAACAAAAGGAATACTGCCATCCTTGACTTGTGGCTTCACATTAGATTCTCCTTTCAAATTGTGTGCATCCTTGTCCACCACTTTGCCATTGATCTCTTGCTCCTTCTCTTTGAAATCCTCCATTTCATCGTCTCCTACATCAACCTCATCATCATCACTTTGCTCCCAATCTCTAGCAGACATATTACCAAAGTCATTGTCACTGGAGTCCTCTTCAGAATCTTCTTCATCATCAGCCCCATCATCACCAGCATTTTCATCATCGCTTTCTCCATCATCAGATGCTGCTGCATCATCACCAATCTTTCTACCTTCCCTTTCATAAATTTCATCAACCCAGCCCTTTTTCTTTCCTATTGACTCATCCACAGAGAAGGAATCACCAAGATCATCTCCAGATATAGGTTTTGAGTTACCTAGCTTCATGTGCTTATCGTCCTCGTTGTCATCATCCTCATCAGATGAATCAGCAGTTCCAAGCATTCTTTTTTGGCGCTCCTCCTACAAGGAAGACCAGTATCAAGACAATTCAGTATCAGTATTTCATAGCTCCAGAAAAAAAAAATTAGACATGTAGGGATTACAAGCTTAAACATAATAATCATATCAAATTTTGGATCATCATAAGGTACTCGCACTAGAACAATTCAGATAAGAAACTTAAACTGTATGCAACATATGGGAAGAGAGAAGCTTTAAATAAGAGCAACAATGCTTAAGTCCAGTGCTAAATTAATATCGAACAAACCTCCAACTTCTCAAGACGTTCTTTCTCTTCTTGTGCTATTTCCTCTGGGGTTTTAGTTCTATCAGAAGGCCGAGCACGTTGATCCATCACCATTTCTTTCACCAGTTTTTCATATGTATCTGCCTTTGCCTGACATGTATTAAGATAACAAAATAGATACAGATTTAGTATCATGAACTAGAAGTGTGCAACTCCATCATGTAAAACATGAAGCTTGTCCATGACTAACAACTAAAATTTGTGAAAAAGAGAACAGCAAAGTGGGCATACACATCCTGCAAAGCCACTGATTAACCATACCCCATGCACCACCTTGTTAATATATAGCTCCTGATACTATAAGTTCTGGTAGAAATCTCTGAAAGAAATGGACAGTATTTTGGTTACTGATGATAAAAAAACGGATCACCTTGTTAAAAATCTCCTTCCCCGTCAAGCCAGCACTTGGATCATTTTTGTTCACCTTGACCTTAGCTGACTCAGTTAAGGACAATAACGCCTGTGTCTGGGCCAATGATGCAAAATCATTGTCTAACTTTTCCACAAGATGTTCATCCTCTTCCCTCTCCTTGGCTCTTTGGGCCTGCATCAATAGAGCAAATTGTGTTGAAGTTATATGACATCACTAAGAATTTCCAAATTCCAAGACATATGTAATCAAAAAGATTGAAGACAGAACAAGTATTATAGGTGAAAACTCAGGTAGTGCTGAGCATTAAGCCCCGAGAGCTTGGTACTCCAGACTAAGCTGTAAGTTGCAAGATTTGGGTTTTGTTCAATCCAAGTCAGATACATCCTTATTTATCTTTAACAAGTCAGGCATAATTATATTTGTCCTCATATATGTTGACGATATTATTGTGACAAGCTCTTCAGAATCTGCTATCTCAACTTTACTTCAAAAGTTAAGTAGTGAATATGCACTCAGAGACTAACAAGATTTACACTTCTTCTTGGGTATTGAAGTAAAGAGAACAGATGGTGGAATCTTGTTAACACAAGATAAATATGCTCTAGAACTACTTGGAAGAGCTGGTATGAAGAACATCGGAGAAGCTGTCAGTTTATAGTGGAGATCCACTCAGTTCAGAAGAAAGCTCAAAGTATAGAAGTGTTGTTGGAGCTTTACAATATTTAACGCTCACTAGACCTGACATTGCTTTTGCTGTAAATAAGGTATGCCAATTTTGACACAATCCAACAACCCTGTATTAGTCTGCTGCTAAGCGTATTTTGAGATATGTAAAGAATACTTTGGGAGTTGGTCAAGAAATTCGAAAGTCACCTTCGATACTATTCAGTGCCTTCTCGGATGCTGATTGGGCAGGATGCATAGATGATAGAAAATCCACTGGAGGGTTTGCTGTGTTTTTTGGTTCTAACCTTATGTCTTGGAGTGCTAGAAAACAGCCCACTGTATCTCGTTCAAGTACTGAAGCTGAGTATAAAGCTTTAGCCAATGCTACAGCAGAATTGGTTTGGATGCAGTCTTTGCTTGTTGAATTGGGAATTGTTTTGAAACAACCACCATGTCTATGGTGTGATAACATGGGAGCCAAATATTTATCATCCAATCCAGTGTTTCATGCAAGGACAAAACACATTGAGATTGATTATCATTTTGTTAGAGAAAGGGTCTCTAAAGGACAACTTCAGATTCGATTTATAGCTTCACAAGATCAGTTAGCCGATGGCTTCACCAAAGCGTTGTTCTCACAGTCTACAAAGATTTCGAAGCAATTGAGGAAGCTAAGATTGAGGAGGTTGTTAGATAGAGTCCTGATTCATATAAATCTAGAGATATTTCAGTTTAGTTTCTTATACAAGTTGGCTATGACTAGAGTCCAAATATGGCATGAGATAGTTCTCGTATGTAATCCAACTCTGTAATCTTCCATATATATTGAGAGCTCCGGCAAACAAAAGGTTAAGCCGTTCCATACAAAGATATTATTTTACACACTGGATTGCAGAAAATGTGATCAGACGCAGCATAAATATATCACATAATTTGTTAAAATAAGTATGTTATCACTTATTAGCATAGTATATAAGTGGAACCATTGATGGGTGCATGGTCAGCATTGTCAGTGTCAGGAAAGACAAGACATACAAAGCTAGATTCAGCTTTCTTTGGTATAGGAAGAAGTCAGAAATGTTGGGATACATCCCAAAAGGTTAGTGAAAAAGCAAAGGTACCAAGAATTCAACTCATTGAGATGGAAGTACCAAGAGTTGAACACAATGAAGTAAGCAGCTATTGACAGTTTGGAACTCAATATGTTCTAAACCAATTACCTAGGTATTTTCATTGAGGCTTCAGACTAATAGTTGATGTCAGCGGAAACCGAAAGGACAAACCAAGAATGAACCCTTAGGTTATACTAAAGGGAAAGATGTTGTTCTAGGTAACACTACCAGGCCTTGACATACTTGCCAAAAAAGGTTTTATTGAGAGAAGAGTAAGGTCACACACGATACCCACCTTATAAAATTTACTCTTTGAAATGATTTCCGTCATAACTTCCTTCTTGCTCTTCTGCCCCTGCTAACACAAAATAACTAGAATGAGGTCACCTCATATGGATCACATTCACATGATTGCATTTACATCTCAGTTTCTCACTGTGGCTATGAAACTCGCATGTGTTTCTTGTGGCAGATCAGTCACTGAAGGATGGTCGTCACTTTGGAGAGATAAGCGCTTCTTTGAGAGGACCATTTTACCTGGAAGTATAAAGATTGAAAGCACAATGAACAACTCAGAAACAATAACATGAACTGATATGTATTACAATTCTTTATAATGCTGCAATATTATCACCATTCTTATTCTCGACATTGAGGTAAAAAGCTCAAAATGGCATAATTAAATCCAGCAAATGCTTTTCACAATGCAAATGGATAACTACAATAACTAGTTATTGAAGCGTCACAAGTACTAACGCCAGATTTATACATCCACATCAAAATAACTTTTGTTCTACTCCCAATGCTAACAGAAAGTGAGCCCAACAAGAATATGGAGAACAATGTGAAATCAGAAGATCACAGGAAAGTCTGGCATCCAGTTAACAGTGATGTTATAAGTGCGTAACAGAAAAGACATTCTCATACCGCACATAATGTGGATGCATATATACAGTAGACAATCTCGCATGATCTAGAGGGATAAAACGATAACAAAAACTGGAGAGGATTGTATTCCAACCAGAGACAATAATAAGCATACCTTCATCATCGCTCCCATCATCGAGAGGCACCTCCTCATCAAAATCATCCTTTTCCGAGAGCATGTTATGAACATTGGCTTCGTATTCATCGTCATCAGATAGATTGTACTTGCTTTCTCGTTTCAACCTGGCCTAGAAAACAATAGAAGAATGGGTCGATAAAGGATACCGGTTTATGCTGGGTCTCTTTTGCACCCAAGCATGTCAATGTCGGGAGAAATGCTAGAAATGTCGGCGTGGCTCTTCAATTAATGAACTATCTCTTGGCGCAACATACCAAGCGCTCGCGTTGCTGGCGAAGGATGGCCTTGTCGAACTCGGGCAGAGTGTCGTCCCTCTCGCCGATACGCCGGTCGTGGAACACGGACGACTTGCCGCTCTCCACAAACTCCTTAAGCAGCGTGTTCTCCCTCTGCAGCAAGGCAAAAGGAATCAGCCACCAAATCAACCGGCGGAAGCGCCGTAAACTGAGTAAATTAGCAGCTGTTTACCTTGCGGATGGCCTCGGAGCGGGAGCGCGATACGCGTCGCTCCTCGCCCTTGCTCTTCTTGCCGAGCACGTCGAACTTGCGGCGCGACCAGATGGCCTCGAACGGGTTGCTCCGCTCCTCCGCCGCCGCGCCACGAGCCTTCATGGCCACCTTGGCCGGGCCGTTCTTGCCCTTCTTCTTTCCTTTGCTCTTCTTCTTCTCGCCCGCCGCCGCCGCCATGGGCTTCGTCTTCGCCATGACCGGGACTGGAGCGGACTGGGGAGAGGTCCGGCTACCGCTAGGGTTTAGAGGTTTCTCTGACTCTCAGAGAGAGGAGCTCGCTTCTCTGAGATTGAAATTGAATGTTGGGCTGGTTCATGATATGGGCCACAAATCACAATGCACCGAGGGCCAAGGCCCAATAAGCAATAAACAACTTTCTTCAAAACCAAAAAGGGGTCCAAAAATAAAGTAAAATAAAAAATAATAATCCCTCCGTTTCAAATTATAAGTCACTTTGACTTTTTTTTTACATCCATTTTGCTCTAATGTTTAAATACATAGCAAAATGGATAAACCAGAAAAATCAAAACGACCTATAATTTGGAAGAGATGGAGTATCATTTCTTCCATGTAAAGTGCCATTTAGAAAAACTAAAACATTATAAAAGAAATTCTCTTCTAGAGAGAAAATATTAACGATAGGTCCTTCCACCTTACATTGCCTTTTTGTGCAATTTTTAAAAGGGTGTTAGAAATGGTTTAGCGCACAAGAGAGGAGCCGAGCAATTTGAACCCGAGGACCGAAGATGAAAAGGAACCAATACGAATTAGCATTCTATTTGAGTTTGATCCATGTTTTATTATAGTTTGGAGTACAATTTAGGGATCGGTCATTTGGCCTTCAAAACCTGAATAGACCAAATAACTTGAATATACCTCGAACTATTAGGATGATATCTCATCCTTGTGTTTGTTGCTCTTATAATACAAGGTGTAAACTTTCAAACTACACTAAGATCGTTACCTTGTTTGGTGAGGTTAAAGTCCAAAAGGTTTGCAAAGAAACGACTAAAATTCTTTCATATGAGAAAATTGATGTTCTTAGGACTAGGAAAATGCTAGGTGGAAAGGTGATAATACTTGCGCTTTTTGCACAGATAAAAAAAGTGTGCACCATATTTTCTTTGAATGTATGACTTCTAAGTACATATGGAGCCTTTTGGCTTTCTGTAACGTCCCGACTCGGTGAAAGGTCCTAATTGTTAGAGGGGGTGGATAGACTATTAAAATTTTCTACAACGATGCTAAAACAAGTGATTAGTCAATAAGATGACAAAGCGAATTTTGCGCTAGCACTGCACTTGGGGTTACAAGCCACCTACCCAATTCTAATTTCTATGATCTCTAGTATGTCATACAAAAGCTATGTCGTTAAATTACACCTAGGTGAGCAAAAAATAGCTAGATAACTACAACTAAAGAGCTACACAAGCTACAAGCACTACACAAGGTGAATATAAAGTAATGAGGGAGAAGGGTAGAAATGATATACCGCCGTGGCAAGTGATCGATCAATGAATATCAATGAATATTGAGGAGACAATCAAGACACAATGATTTTTCCTCTGAGGTTCACTTGCTTGCCGGCAAGCTAGTCCCCGTTGTGGCGATTAACTCACTTGGAGGTTCATGCGCTAATAGGCATCACACGCCTAACCTGCAACCGGGTGTCGCACAACCAACACAAGATGAGGATCCACAAGCCACGCACAATCCATTAGACTTGCCTTTAGCGCTCAGACGGGGAAGGCACAAGAACCCCTCACAATCACAATGATTGGAGCCGAGAGACAGTCACCTTCCTCCGCTCGACGATCCACCAATCACCGGGCCGTCTAGGTGTCGGCAAACACCAAGAGTAATAAGAACTCCACCAGCCCAAAATGCCCAACTAGTGCCACATGATGCTAGAACACTAAGCAATGCACTAGAGGCTCTTCAATCTCACTCAAGATGATGAAATCAAGTGTGCACGTGAGTGGAGTGGTATGCTCATCTCTCAAAGGGTGTATGTAGCTGTTAGAAGTGCCAACAGAGTGGTAAGGCCGGCCACTAGCTCTATTTATAAGCCCATAAGCAAATAGAGTTGTTACCCCTTTAGAGCAGCTTTCTACGAGGGCACCGGACACGGCGGTGCCTGGCACCGGACATGGCGATGCCCCTCACAACGATCACTTTCCAACGCTAAAAACTAACCGTTGGGACACCGAACAGGATGGTGGTGGCACCACCCCTAAGGTGGCGGTGACCACCCGGCCAACTGCCCGAAAACCCCCTTCTCTGCATTTTTATGGCGGTGCACGCGGTGGTGACCAGCTCGGTTTCCCTCGCTCTCGGGTGAAAGCAGCGGTGGCACCGCCTCACTAGTGGCGGTGACCAGGCGGTGCACCGCCCTCACAGCGGCGGTGCACACCGGACGCACCGGTGCCACGCCTTCTCTGCTGCTCTAGGCCAGGCCTAGGTGGGCACCGCCCTAGGGGTCGTGATGCCACCAGACAGGGTGGCGGTGCCCCCAGGGCAACCCACTGCTCTCGGCCTCCCAGCCGGTCACCGCCACAGGGGTGGCGGTGCACCGGACAAGGGGTGGCGATGCCCCAGTGGTAGCACCCCAAGCCGAGTTTCGCCCCCGTTTCTTCACCTTTCCCACCACCTTTGCAAAATGTGCTAACACTCCAAGTGTTTCACCATCATGTGCAAGTGTGTTAGCATTTTCACAATCATTTTTCAAAGGTTAAACACTTCTTACCGATTGTGCACTATGCCTAAAATGCATATGCATGTTTTCCAACACCTAGTGGCACTAAATGATCGAGTTGTCCGATAAGAGCTCCCCTCTTAATAGTACGACCATCTATCCTAAATGTGATAACACTCTCTATAGTGTCTCGATCACCGAAAACAAAATGGCCCTATGAATTTCACCTTTGCCTTGAGCCTATTTTGTTGTTCTCTTTCTTCTTTTTCAAGTCCGAAGCTTGATCACCTTTCATCACATGTCCACCAACAACACCATAGACTTCATCTTGCTCCACCACTTGGATTGGACTATCTTATCTAATCATACACTTAGATGCAAAGATTAGTCCAACTAGGTTTCATCAATTATCTAAAATCAAACTAGGGCTTTCAATCTTTTCTTTTTGGTAATTGATGACAACCTTCACAAAGATATGAAATAAATTTAAATTTGAATCCATGTTGCTTGCCCAAGCATTTTTACCATGTGTAAAAGGATACGGACAAGTTTCATGAACCCCAAATGGTAGCATTAGCTCCCCCTACATATGTGCTAAGAGTTTGGATTGAAGCTTGCACATATGCATGAATTTGAGTTGTGGGAGAGTAATGTCTACCAAATGATGCTAAGGTATAAGAGATGGACCTTTAAAGCGTGATACCAATCGAAGTGCACCAAATAAACCATCCTTAGCACCATTAGTAACTAGACATACACAAAAACTAGAATACCCCGTTAGATCAACATTAGAAGCAAGGGTCTAGTTTTCTTAAAATAAACACAAGTCTAGTTACTCAACCTAAGTATGCTAGTTTTTCATTTCATCATTCAAACAAACAACTAGCATACAACATGAAAATCTAATTTAAAACTTGTGCCATGCAAGCAAAACATATGAGATGCATATTCAAATGCATCAATCAAGTTTATGAGCTTGCTCCCCCTACTTGTGTGCTCAAATTTTAATTGATTCCCTTCCTTTGTCATATTACTCCCCCTATGTCAAAGTTTTCTCTCCTTTAGTGATTACTTCTCCCCCTATTACTTATATCTTTGTTTCTCTCCCCTTTTGTCATCAATGACCACAAAGGTTCTATGGTAGAATCGTCCGAAATAACACGCTTTTGGAGGCGCTCGTCTTCCACTAGACACTAAGCACCCTGAAAGTTAGCTACATCAGACAGTTCCGTCGAGCACACCCCACGGGAGAACTCAAATCAATCCATATTTTACATCCAGAATCCAATAATGAGTACGAGTTTACAATACTTAGTCCATTTCATACAACCAGAGGCCTTGAAAATTAGTTATTACAATACCAAAGTTCAGAGTGCGATAATTAAACAACGGAATAAAAATAAACATCTAGCAGAAACGATACATGGATCCATCTATACCCATTAGAAGAATCCTCCACACAAGAGTTACTCCTCAAACTGCACCTACAACAGGGGTAAAATAAACCCTGAGTACACAATGTACTCGCAAGACTTACCCGACTAGTGGAAATAGTTTCCCGACTCCGAGGGTATGATAGGCAATATGGTTTGTTGTTTTCTTTGTTTGCGAAAAGCATTACTAATAATACGTCCTTAAGATCATGTTTTATTAGCAGTCATGATTACTTCATTAGCTAACCATTCTAAGTAAGCACCTATTCTACTTTCAAGCAATGGTTGAGCAATAAGAACCATTTCACCATCTTTTATCTTTCAGTTCTTACTACGGTGCTAGACCATAGCCAAGTCATACCGTCTCACGAAAATGACGATTTGCGAACCAATGTATCCCAGCTGGGTACCCCGAAATACATGCCCCGTTTGTACCCCAGGCACAAGACCAACCCATTCCACTTCTGTCACGGGGACCAAGTCCCCGTCCAAACTTGGACTCCAAGCCCCCACACTTGAGACCCGGTCTCAATATAGTGCTTAGACCTCCACCTTTTCCCGCCTCCAATCAGTCGGTCCAGAAAGAGCAGGAACCCACGACAAGAGCGTAACAAGCATTCCCGCTCCCATAAGCAAGTATGTGCTCAGGATAATAAGTCTGTGACCTGACTACCATCCACAGCAACGGACGGTCATCAATCGACACGGACAGGGAAAACAGTGTAACCAAGCTAAGCCCCGTGGCCGTGGGACACAACTCGTCACACCCACCAATACCCATACCATATCCCTGCCCGGTCTCTCTTTTTTCTTTCATCATTTTTTATCATGAGAGTAATTATAATAATCACCTATTGTGAGTAATGGCAGGTTACTCACGCTACCGAAAACCTAAGCATAGGAGCTACTCGAACCTGTACTAATAGGACTCATAGGTAGATATATCTATGCATGTGGTTTTCATAAAATTCTTGTAACGTAAATGCACATAACATATATATAGTGATTATAAAAAATAAGGGGTTATACACTGGGCCTTGCCTTGGGTAGGCGCGATGTTAGCTGAG